AACAACAAATCCATCCTCACTGCCAATATGGCAGATAATGAGCCTTTTCCCTTTACCTGGAAATCAAAGTACTAACTGGTGTAGATTTATTTCAATAAGCGAACCTTTTTCAAATGTTTTCATCACATTCAGCGAAAAAAACATTGAGACATGAGTATCAGATTGCTATAATTGGGATTATTTAGTCATATTGAAAGAAAAAATATTGAACGTCGTATGACTACTCAGCGCTTCACAATTTAATTTAAAGTTATAAACCTTTAAAAAATGAATGATCAGGAACCTGAAATACGCGCAAATATTAATATTAACAAATTATAACTTTATAAAGCTTAAAGTATGAATTAAAATGATTAGAAATATTAGGAACGGTACACAATATAAAACTTAGTAACTTTTTTTAAGTTTATAATATTCGACATATTTTAAGATTATATTAAAAAATTATTGAAATATCGAAAACACATAAAAACATGGCTTAAAAAAGTTCTAACAAATGAAAATGACAATAAAACATCCACGCATTTTATCGAAAGTTATAAAAGTTTTGTTACCTGTAATATGTTTTATCTGCCCCCTGGAATTAATGTTTAGAACCTTGTTCCCAAGGTTTGAAAAACATCCGATTGTTGTCTATTACTCGTATTTACCTGCTGGATTTTTTAATCCGGTGGACAGTCCATCTAGAAAGGCCCTCCTGGATGAAGTTACAGAATCATCAACCCATACTTTACTTGTAGTGTGTCCTGCGTTTACCCACGTTTCATCAAGGTAATAAATCTTCCTGTTTTGATTTCTATATTTCCCAATTTTTGTTAAATAATCCCTCCTCCATAGCACAATTTCTTCTCTATCCAGTAGTAAACTATTACGACCCCGTTTTTTCCATTTGAAATTTAAATGCTTCAGTAACGCATGGAAAGTTGATCGTTTGAAATTTGGCAACGTTGTATCTCCATTTACCTCCTGCAGTACTTTATCTATAGTAGGTATTTCATTCCTAAAGAAGAATTCATGCACTTTCCTCCTAATCGCATGCTTATCAGCTGCATCCAATGATTTAACAATACTTTTGCGATGTTTACTGGTCATTGGCTCAGAAAAGGTATGATTTTTTTGTATTGTCTTAACACATTAAACACTGATGCGCGACACACCCCAACTTTGTGAGAAACCTTCACAACAATTTCTTTGATGGTTGATACCTCGTTCTCCTCGTGCTCGATCTTATATATATATATTCAAAATGACCTCTTTCATTTCTGCACTCAGGTGTCTTTTTTTAGAGCGTTTCCTAGGTGGACTACAGGAGTTTACAACTTCATCGGCAGTATCTGTACTACTGGGCATTTTGCGCAAGCAGTTGATAACAATAACAATCAATAACAAGGTATAACAATAACAATGACAAACTCAACAACTTAATAAGATAACAAACGAATACGTCCAAAGAAATATCAAATTGCAATGATGCACACGACATACGTAACACGTCTGAACCTGAATGTGACTCTGCCTTGATACGACTGCTGTGCCGCTCGGCATTGGCATTTAATTGCGAATTGACCAATGAGGGCTCCTGTTTTACGTCGAGACGGCGGCGTTAGCGTGAAAATCACCCGAACCTTTTGTTTACATCCGGTCTATCTCTTATCTGAATATACAATAAACATCAACATATGTCACTTTTCTTAAACGGATTGTCCAATAGTTCATTGCACATATAAGCAATTCAATCTAAAAAATATGAATAAAACTTTAAAACATCCTCTCATAAACTTCATAAAAAATGCTGCTGTTGATCCAAGAAGTATTAGACTGATTAGGGTTACGTACGTTACATCTACACTCAAAGTGAGATTTTTGGGATTCCACAAGGGCAGAGCATCTGGATATCTGATGTCCAGTCTCTGTCAAAATCACGAAAGATGACGATTACGTCACCATTTTAGTCTATAGCAAAGACTAACGACAGCGATTTGTAGGAATATTTTTAATGAAGTTTCAGAGAGAATTTTATTGTCTAAACAAACTGTATTGTTAATTTCCATATATCCGACAAAGATAGGCGTTGTTTTCATGTTGCACGATCGATCATATTTGAAAGATGAATAGTTAGGTTATGTTAGGTTAGGTTGTTGTACAACTTGTCGCCACCTGAGGCTCTGCTGGACTATTTTGGAGACTTATACTGACAGCCAGGGTGCTGTTGCGTCTCGTAGAACTTCCGATTTCACTGTTTTTTCTCTTAAAACTTTTAGAAGGTAGTCTGATAGATTATTTAGAAACAAAAAAAGCGTGGACGAAGCACGTTTTTCATGATTTTTTTTCCAAAACACTGTATTTTTAGCTGTTATTTCCACCATTATTTCCACCGCCATCTATCTGCCGTATGACGTAGTCGTTTGTGCATGTCATATCTGAGAGGCGCTTGCCTGCGGTGTTGCCGGCATGGGCATTTAGGAAAAAATATGAAAAGTGGAAAATTTATATACATATACATATGAATGAACCACAAAAACGAAAAACTAAAACAAACAACAGTAGCAAAGTGAAAGGCGATTGCTAATAAGTATAAATAAAAAAATAACAGTAGTAAGCTAAAAAATGATAAATTATAAATAATTATAAAAAACAAAAAATAAAAACAGTGGTAAGACAAAAACTAATACCATGTATTTATAAAAAACAAAAAATAACAAACGGCAGTAAAATAAAAAGCAATTCTAAGTGATTATCAAAAACAAAAAATAAAAACAGTAGTAAAACAAAAAAACAATTCCATGTTGAATAAAAAGCAATTCTATGTGACAACAAAAAACAAAAAGTAAAAACAGTAGTAAAACGAAGAACAATTTCATTCCATCCAAATTGCTTTTTATTTTACTGTTTGTTATTTTTTGTTTTATACATATATATATAGTAAGAATAACTTTTAATTTTACTACTGTTGTTTGTATCAGTTTTTTGTTTTTGTGTTTCATTAATTAATATAAATGTATATAAATTTTCCACTTTTCATATTTTTCCCTAAATACGGAGCCCGATCCGGCAACACCGCAGGCAAGCACCTCTCATATATGTCATATCCACAGACGACAACGTAGATGGCGGTGGAAATAATTGGGGAAATAACTGATAAAAATACGCTTTGGGAAAGAAATTAATGAAAAGCGTGCTTCATCCACACTTTTTATGACTTAAAACAATCTATCAGACTATCCTCTATAAGTTTCAAGTGAAAAAACAGTGAAATTCGAAGTTTTACAAGACGCAACAGTACAGTCTATAGATATAAATTACCGACAAAATCGTACCAAAGCTCAGAAATATTCGAACTTACCTTTTCCATCCAAAACCGCCTCCCAACTCTTCAAAATCACAAACTTCTCACTCCCAACTTACGTCTTCAACTCCACACCAGCACAGATACACAATATTTGAAACGTTTAATTTTTTTCGCGGCTAGTCTATGCTCGAACTTTTCCACTTTCACTATCCCCCTTTTACCTGATAGGCACTTCGACTTTACAACAAATACTCGTATATATAATATCCACAACGCGGCAATTTTTATGCACTAATTATATAATCGTTTATTCCCGAGATAATGACAAAAGGCACGGGTCTTCCTTAAAAAGTGACTAAAAAGTTAGCCTTACGGGCCAGGGTTGCCAGATTTTCAGTCACGTTGGTCGCAAAGTTTTGATAAGAAAATCGCCAGAAATCGCCGACTGTGAAATAACTAGGAGTCAACAATATAACGCCAGGCTAGAGATTGGAATGAATTTGCAGAAGGGGGGGGGGGGGGGTAGTAGCCTGACTGTTAACTGAAGAGACACAATAATATTATATTATATGATAAACAATTCCTTGAAAAGGGAGGGGAGCGGTGAGGATATGGGGGGAAGGGGTTGTTAGACACGTGTCCATTGTGCTTAGAGCACAGATCTTCCATGTTTCATTAATCTATACAATTATTTTTTACAAATCCACAAAATTGCTATCATATGATGAATTTAAAAGACATATGAAGAAATTTATTTTGAATACCTAGAAGTATATAAATTAGTTGATAAAATTTATCTGTCACCTCAGACAAAAATATTTTCAATATAGTATTCCTAACTGTTACAATTTTATTCTTTTAACTCATAAATTATTATGTTATATACATCATATTTTTATAAACCTACATTTTTAAACTTGTAACCTATCAAATGTATTTATTTTTTTTTGTATTGCTTTTCAGTTTTTCTTTTTTGGGAGGGGGGGGGGTTAGTGGCGATTTATAATTATTATTATTATATCGGCAAAAAGAGATTACAAATTAAGTGGCTTCAGAAATTTTAAAAATCGGCAGATATCGCCAATTTGCTGGATACGAGGCAAGTTATCCATTTTAGTCGCCATTTGAAACCGTCTAAATCGCCACTTTGGCGAAAATTCGGCGCGCCTGGCAACCCTGTTTTGAGTCCTTGCAAAATGCAGAGCTACCGAAAAACAATTGCATACGATGGAATGTGCGTGTAGCCAATCGACGTCAAGCGGTCATACGGTAGACGGTTTTCCAAGAAAATAAGCTAGACAAAACCGGTGGTGCGTCGATAGTCGACACGAAGATCCCCAAAATACGCAAGAGAAAGAGGAATTCAAATTATATTGATATTTAAACATTTCAATCCACAACCGGGTGAAAAATATAGCTCGGAATTAGTAATGCCTTATATTGATGAAAAGCTCTTAATTTTAGTAGATACATAATTTGAATGAGCAAAGATTATTCGTATAGAAAATAACACAGGAATCGGGATGCTAGGAAGAGGCAGATGCCTAGATTCCCTTATAGTTCAGGATAAATAGGACATATAATATTGGAACTTTATTTTAAAATACTCTAGTTTTGTATTGTTGATTACTTTATTGTAATATCGAACCTAAATATCAAATTAGATGGAACTTCAAGCGTGCAGAAAGGACTCATTGTTCGATTATTTCAGGTGGATCTGCAATGAATCTCAACCTGATACTGATGGCTGCATTGGGACTACTGGCGACCCTGAATTCCGCACGAATATAATACTGTTCGAGTGTAAACTCATCAAAGAAAATTTTTACATGAGGATCTATAACCGATGTAAGGAATATTCACCAACTAGTCAATTTTTAGGCAATTGTCCAGCGTTCTAGTCCTAATTCCGTCGCATTTCAAGTTAAAGATATAAATGTTTCGTCCAAATTATTCACTCATAACATATAAGATCAATGTTTCAATTTTTTGTGGCAACAGACACCTAGATCAAGTATTGTGTATTTGAAATGAATAGTTCTAATTTCTTTTGTCTCCAAATAAGCATCGGCAGTTCCCATTTTTGACTTCTCTCTATCACCATGTCGATGTATTTTCACTTAGCATAAATACAGGGTGTCCGCAAAGTTGGGGTTTTCCTTTTCAGAAATAACTACCCTTGAAATAACAAAGGTAATGTGTAGTGAAACGAGGGCGACCAAGTAAAAAAAAATAAAGGAAAAAGTACTCACTCTCCAGTTGACGAGAAGGGCTAAGTACGTCTCTGCCCGAAATCATACCGCTCCAACAGAAAATGAAATCAGCTGATGTGCTACCAAGCAGACGCCGGCGGTGGTGCAGACCACGAACAGAGGTAACAAATATGACCATCGTGCAAAAACCACATTGATTGTCTTACACTTAATGACACATCTTCTAACAAGGAAGGCAAAATGTTGCGTAAAAAGTCTAGGTATTGCATCCCGTCCAATCGACTTGGGAGAATAAATGGTCCAATGAGCATACCGTTCACCATGCCAGCCCAAACATTCGCCGAAAATGTTTGTTGAAAATGTGCCCGACTGACAGCGTGCGGATTTTCTACTGACCAAACATGAGTGTTGCGAAAGTTATTCACCCCATTACGCGTGAACGTAGATTCGTCTGTCACCAATATGCACTTCAAAAAGTGCGGATTATTGTCATGTTGATGCAACAACCACTCACAAAACCGCATTCTTGCTGGAAAATCGTCAGGTTGAAGGGCTTGTACACGTTGGACGTGAAACGGATGCAGCCCTCTTCACGCAGCGTTTGCCACACTTTAGTTTTTGATACTTGCACTTCTATAGCCACGTCTCTAGTGCTTGTTGTTTTTTGAAACGCAACCGATTATACGGGTTCGTTTACCTCTACACGCGTGACCATAACCGTCGGTTGAAGGTTGCATACTGACCTGACACACTGGCCCCGACCTAGTTCTGTCGTCGGGTTGAGCTAGTGTCCTAGTACCACTCGGGTATGTCGCGGCTACAGGACGGTATTCAGATATTTTTGATGTTGCAGAGCCCTTTATCTCGGTTCCCGTAAGACACTGGTGTATATGGAGTAAGAAAAATTGCTTATGTTTTCAAGATCTACACGTCGTGTAAAGGAAAACCCCAACTTTGCGGACACCCTCTACTGACTGGATATTCGGCATTAGCGAACTATTTAGTATATATGTGCAGAAGGTATATGATTCTGTGATTATTTATTATACATATACGGTAATGTTCAAGTTTGGCTGATATCGTAATGTGTACGAGAACGAAGTGTGCAATATATATGTTAGACAGAGTGCGCCGGTGGCATCCGTGACCTTGTACTCGAGTTGCTAGGCAACGAGGTGCTTCTATCTCTTTCTAATACACGTATTGCATGCTTCTAGCTCATCTCTCTCTCTCTCTCTCTCTCGTATACTCGTACATTACAACGCCAGTGGTATACCGATTTTACTAAAAATAACCCATAAGGTGCGAAATATTTGATAAATATGTACTGATTCTTCTAAAACGTCGCCTGCAAATAACAGCACTCTGAACAAATGAAATTTTTGCACTCTCACATTATTCGGTATAGTAAAGCAGTAACGTACGGATGGCACAGAGGAAAAAAATGAATGTAACAAAAAATAAGTTTCGATAAAAGTGAATTTAAAAGACTCGTTGTACAGGATGAGTCAACGATCCGACGGAGTACCGTAGATTCCGTATTATAAGAAATTGGAAAAATTATAAATAAAAATATTATTGATACACAGGGTAGTCCAAAAGTGAAAGCAGACCAAACGTTTTTTAATGGACAATCCTTTTTAGTTTTCTATTTTGAGATTCTCCTTATGTTTTAGCGTCCATGCCTGAATTTTGAGATATTGAGGTTAGGAATGGGCCTTTCGTCATATGTGACACCCTGTAAAATCCTAGGGTTGATTAACCAGTAAAATGCCTATCTCAGGTTTTACGATCTGTTCTAATATGATAACTAACTTAACAGGAAATTTGTTACACACGGCCTGGAACATGAGAAAAAGGTGATTTTAACATCAATAGCTCGAATACAGAACTAGGACAAGAATAAAAACAGTGAACAAAAAAAAATCTTTATTCAAAAGAATATAGAACAAACAAAACAAAATTAACGGTAACTGCATAAGAATGATTAGTTAACGTTTATTTCTTTCATCACAGATTGGTGTATGGTAAATTGTTGTAGTAGCTAGTAGTTTCGGTGACGATCAGTGGATGTTAATCTTTTTTTTTCATAAAACGGCAAGTTTGCAATTGGGTATAACTACAGTATATTCAGATAAGAGATAGACCGGACATAAACAAGACCACGTGATCATCGAACGCTGTAACATTCGGCAGGGACGTATTAAGAGTCACGCAGTACATATTTTAGATAGTAGATGCTGCTTTGCGTAACTTTGTAGTAAATTAGCACAATTCGATGTGTATACGATTGGTGATGGATATAGGATCATGTGGGGGTGGGGTAAGAAATATATAATGATGTAAATATACATAAGGGTTTCAAAATTTTCGCTTCGATTTCCAGCTTCGGATGCCGCCTGATGTTTGGTGAAATACAGTCGAATATAATCTCAAAATGGCGTTTAAATTAGCCTAAATTAAAAATAATCGTATATCTCTTAAAATTGCTTTTAGAATATTGATTAGTATATTTTTTGATTTCTAGGTAAATATGTAACCAAATTAAAACGTTCAAAACGTAAAAAAATGTGCATGGTTGAACATTGTCAGAAAGTAGATTCTTGAATAGGTTTTTCCAAAATGGGTTCAAAAATGTCAATAATTAATTAAAAAATACAGTAGCTTTATAATTACTTATAACTTACCGAATTTGATGAACGACATCTTTTATTGGAAAGATGAGCTTGATGAGCTTTCATCATCGCTACTGCCTGAAGCACCAACGTCAATAATGAATGGCTCGACTTGTTCCTCTAAAATATTGTCCAGTTCCCACATTCTCTTTTCAACTTTGTCTTTCCGTGCTTAATACAGTTTTCCCATTTTTGCGCTGTTATTAATTCTAGTACTTCTTTGAAAAGTCCTTTGAGGTCACAAAATTTAAAAGTTGTATTGTGCTTAGCTATATAATTTTTAACCTCTGCCCATATGGTATGGAGGTAAACGGAGCACAGTTTTATTTTGACTTGCTGCCATTTCGTCAATGGCGTATTTTTGATATTCCGCCTTGTGATCCTTGACAATTCTTAATAATTGTACTTTCAGCATTGCTTCTTCAAAGTTGATATTTTTCGAGCGGAGCCAATTTTGAACATCAACTTTCCTTGAAGCCGTTGTTGGGACCTTCTCCATTCTTCGAGAATGATAAGGTGCATTATCCAACACAATTACTGCGTTTTCCTCTAAGTTCGGTAAAATTTTTGAAAACCACTGTTCAAACGATTCGCCATTCATTTCCGCGTGGTAATCTCCAGTTTTCTTAGACTCAAAGCACCACAGACCGTCAACAACAAATCCATCCTCACTGCCAATATGGCAGATAATGAGCCTTTTCCCTTTACCTGGAAATCGAAGTACTAACTGGTGTAGATTTATTTCAATAAGCGAACCTTCTTCAAATGTTTTCATCACATTCAGCGAAAAAACATTGAGACATGAGTATCAGATTGCTATAATTGGGATTATTTAGTCATATTGAAAGAAAGAATATTGAACGTCGTATGATTACTCAGCGCTTCACAATTTAATTTAAAGTTATAAACCTTTAAAAAATGAATGATCAGGAACCTGAAATACGCGCAAATATTAATATTAACAAATTATAACTTTATAAAGCTTAAAGTATGAATTAAAATGATTAGAAATATTAGGAACGGTACACAATATAAAACTTAGTAACTTTTTTTGAGTTTATAATATTCGACATATTTTAAGATTATATTAAAAAATTATTGAAATATCGAAAACACATAAAAACATGGCTTAAAAAAGTTCTAACAAATGAAAATGACAATAAAACATCCACGCATTTTATCGAAAGTTATAAAAGTTTTGTTACTTGTAATATGTTTTATCTGGCCCCTGGAATTAATGTTTAGAACCTTGTTCCCAAGGTTTGAAAAACATCCGATTGTTGTCTATTACTCGTATTTACCTGCTGGATTTTTTAATCCGGTGGACAGTCCATCTAGAAAGGCCCTCCTGGATGAAGTTACAGAATCATCAACCCATACTTTACTTGTAGTGTGTCCTGCGTTTACCCACGTTTCATCAAGGTAATAAATCTTCCTGTTTTGATTTCTATATTTCCCAATTTTTGTTAAATAATCCCTCCTCCATAGCACAATTTCTTCTCTATCCAGTAGTAAACTATTACGACCCCGTTTTTTCCATTTGAAATTTAAATGCTTCAGTAACGCATGGAAAGTTGATCATTTGAAATTTGGCAACGTTGTATCTCCATTTACCTCCTGCAGTACTTTATCTATAGTAGGTATTTCATTCCTAAAGAAGAATTCATGCACTTTCCTCCTAATCGCATGCTTATCAGCTTCATCCAATGATTTAACAATACTTTTGCGATGTTTACTGGTCATTGGCTCAGAAAAGGTGTGATTTTTTTGTATTGTCTTAACACATTAAACACTGATGCGCGACACACCCCAACTTTGTGAGAAACCTTCACAACAATTTCTTTGATGGTTGATGCCTCGTTCTCCTCGCGCTCGATCTTATATATATTCAAAATGACCTCTTTCATTTCTGCACTCAGGTGTCTTTTTTTAGAGCGTTTCCTAGGTGGACTACAGGAGTTTACAACTTAATCGGCAGTATCTGTACTACTGGGCATTTTGCGCAAGCAGTTGATAACAATAACAATCTATAACAAGGTATAACAATAACAACGACAAACTCAACAACTTAATAAGATAACAAACGAAAACGTCCAAAGAAATATCAAATTGCAATGATATACACGACATACGTAACACGTCTGAACCTGAATGTGACTCTGCCTTGATACGACTGCTCTGCCGCTCGGCATAGGCATTTAATTGCGAATTGACCAATGAGGGCTCCTGTTTTACGTCGAGACGGCGGCGTTAGCGTGAAAATCACCCGAACCTTTTGTTTACATCCGGTCTATCTCTTATCTGAATATACTGTACGTTCTGTCATTGTTTTTGCGTATTTCCGATACCTCACGGGAGCGTGATGCGTTAGACTGCATGTTGCCGGTTCTAACTACAAAACACCAAATTTGCAACATTCATCTTTTTCCCCTGTACCCTTTATATTATACTATCCATTTCACTATCATTGATGAGCGAGTTGTTTTGAATGCCGGCCATTTACATTGCTTCATATAAGCTGCAGTTGAAGTTGTGAACTCCCAATCAGCGGTTTTACAAAAAAAAATGGTAGTTTTTGCACCACAACCCTTTATCGTGAATATCTAAAGTTATTTTGTATTATAGTAGAAATATCTCAACATAATAAATATTCCCTAAACAATCACTTGGTACTGCTAGGAGATTAAAAAGTAAACCGTGCCTTTTTGAAATCAAACGTGTCTTTAAACAATTTTTGATGAAGCTCTAATAAAGCCTAATCATTATAAATGGGATTTAAAAAAATATGCAAAAGATTTTTTAATAATAAAAAATATATTTCTTGATTCCTATGATTTACAAGTCTCAAAGCTGAAGATAGCTAATAAATTCATATTTTGTATGACAAAACTACAATGGAGTAAGATGAATATAGTAGTTATGTTTTAAAGAGTAGTATTATAGTATATATTTTGCTGTGCTCGCTCAAATATACTGGTTTTTGCACAAAATCACAATCTACCTTTATACATTGTTCTTCACATGTCCTGACATAATATACAGGGTGGGTGTTAATTAAATATGAACGATAAATCTAACAGACCACTCTTTGAGTAATTTTAAGAGAAAAAGTTCATATAATTATAGGTACTAAATTAAAAAAAAATGTTTTTCGTAAATATCTTAAGTATCATTTATCTAATTTTGTTGTGATTTGGCGGTGGTACTTATAATATTAAGGAGCTAATTCAGCAATAACTTGATTTAATTTATCAAGTTCAGTGGCGTCTTGAGCGGGAACTGAACGAATATGACTGACCTTTGTGCAATTTTTATGATATCCTTCGGATTAAGCATGCAGAAATACAACTTTTGTGTTTCGTATCTTGGTTAGTTAGATATCGCTGGACCACACAAGGAAAATGGAATAAACTTTCTTTTGATTTTTTTTTTATTTTTCCATTACTAATTAAGTATTGCATATTCCACACACGGACCATACAAGGAATATGGGGAAACGTTTCATTTGGAAATAATTATTTTTTTTTAATTTTTATTACTATCTATGTAACAACAACAAATACTGAATAACATTAGCATATTCAGTAATAAATATACGTAATTATAAAAAAACTAATTTTCAAAAGAAACGTTTCCCCGTATTTCTTGTGGTCCAGGATTATGCAATAAAGTGGCATTTTTTTCTCGAAAAGTAAGAAAGATACGAAAAAAGTTGTATTTCTATTTGTTTAATCCAAAAAACAAAATTGCACAAAATGCAGTGGCGTGGCAGTATTTTAGTTAATTCCTGTTCATAAAAAAATACATATATATATATATATATCTTGAGACGTGGTCATTGTCGTCTAGACCAGTTAGGTGAAAAATTAAAGCTTCCGCCTTTTGTTGGGTACTTCGACAAAATTTAAGCAAAGAGGACTCTTTATACTTTTTTTAATCCTCTCTAGCTTTCAATGGACTTTGCCATCATCATCGGGAGCTGCAATTACAATGATAACAGTAGCAACAAAAGTGTAAAATGAATTCAACTTGAATCAACTGACAGTAGTATGTGAGGATGTTGCTAATTGTTGTTTTCGTATAGGATGAGGGAAACGTCCAGTAACATGGTGAGAGCTGGATACATGGTACAATGGTTAAAATTATATAAAATATGACAAGACAAGTTAAAGACAGATTAAAAATTATTTAGAAAATATTAGAGCATTACGTCGTGAAGCCACTTGATGATTGCACAAAATGGTGGTCATGGAATAATGAGTGAGATGAACCTTTGACAGAAGGCCGAAGGTTGTCAATGTCTGTGTTGAAAGATGGAACGAATTGTGGGCGTGTGCCAAAACGTCGCCAAATCACTTCAGATGAATAATTTTTAATCTGTCTTTAACTTGTCTTGTCATATTTTATATAATTTTAACCATTGTACCATGTATCCAGCTCTCACCATGTTACTGGACGTTTCCCTCATCCTATACGAAAACAACAATTAGCAACATCCTCACATACTACTGTAAGTTGATTCAATTTAAATTCATTTTACACTTTTGTTGCTACTGTTATCATTGTAATTGCAGCTCCTGATGATGATGGCAAAGTCCATTGAAACCTAGAGAGAATTAAAAAAAAGTATAAAGAGTCCTCTTTGCTTAAATTTTGTCGAAGTACCCAACAAAAGGCGGAAGCTTTAATTTTTCACCTTATATATATATATATATATATATATACCTATAACCTATAATGATAGCTATTCCATCACAACTGCTAATATTGCTATATTATGTTTGATATGACTACAGGTGTCCAATTTATTAACTTCAAATAGGTGTTTTCAATATTGTTGTGTAGTTATAATATAATCACGTCATTTTCGGCGTCACTTATTGTTCTGAAATTACATACACACCTTAAGAAATAGCACTGTAATTTTTTGTTTGCAACAAGGCCGTATATCAGCAACTTCTGTATAATTGTATATTAATAAATGTATTGCTAAAATCGCCTTTTCCTTCACCCGTAGGTACAACTTTGCAGGCGGAAATTAGTGATGTGAATCGAAGGAACGCGCCATTATAAATATCTCGGTTCGGACAGTATCCAACTTTTAGCATAAATTCTAAGCTTACGTGTATAAAAATATCACACATCTAAAAAGCGCAAATATTGCTTCAAGATGAAAAGCCAGGTTTATTCCTCACTGGTATTACACACTATGGATTCATAAAATAATAGAGAGTGAAAATTCCACTAGGGAAATTACCTGAGTGAGACTTCTGGTTTACTTATTCTGTGGTAACATCAAGTTTTTTATACTTGTCTTGAACAACGCAGGTTCTAGACGGTTCTCTGTTTTCTGTTTTCTTAGATCGATGTTGCTTTAACATTTCGGATATTTGGATCCAAACTTATTTGTTCAACAATGCGTATGTTCAGGTTTACGTTCGGTCACCAAACTCAGCGTGTAATACCAGTGAAAAAGCAAACTTCCTTTACGTTTATATCCTTACAATTTTCCGTTTTACTAAAAATGTAAAACGAGCTGCTAATCCTGCGTGCCACTAGCACCTACTAGTATGTAAAATATAGTAGGTTCCCATTTACTTATTTAATCGAGAATCTCAATTTAATTCAGTTTGTTTGAATTAAATGAAATTCGAAGATAGGTGGCAGTGATAAAGCGAGTACATGTTTAACATTTGGGTCACACAAGCCCAATGAATAAATATCAAGCAATTGTTTTCTATCATCAAATGGAAGTGCCGCAGAAAAAAATTGAAGATGTCATGAAACAACAGCATTTGCTTCTAGCAATTGCCTAAACGACAAATATGCAGTGCTTTTCAAAAAAGTACCGCCCAAATTATTTTAATAAATGGCTGAATTAATTTGACAATTTTCCCAAATGGAATGTTTCACATTTTACTACATACGTTCAACTCCTTTTTACGCAAAATTTCAGTAACCCAAAATACAGCTCGCTTACTTGACCCGTTCAAAAAATAAGTTGGGGACCTTTTTGAAAAGCACCTTATAGAGATTAGAAGCTGAAATTCTATAGTTAAGTACCACAATAGTGTATCTCATTGTGTCTCACTGCTAGAGTAGTGTGTATTTCTCCCAATGCCTAATCTCTCTTCCATTTTTGTACCTGACTGTAGTTAAGCAATTACCTTTGCTGACAAGCTTAACCCTGATTTGCTTAATTTGTATAGAACATTCTTGCAGGTGATTGAAAGATAAAAACCATCACAATCATGAAAACCGATAACCTAATAATTATCAATTTTTCAAGCTAACTGGAGTGTCTGTGGTGGTCCTTCACAAAAATTAATTAGGCACGTCAAACGTTCGTGCAGGAGTCCATCTTGGAATATTTCTTCTCGGATTGTCCACACATGTACAGTTTACAGACATACAAACAATTGCTTCCGTAAATGATGGCGAACGCGAACAATACGCTGGCGACTACGATCAGGATAGTCTTCCAGTTGCTGGGCTCCCATTTCTTCTGCTGGAGTTCAGGAGGACCTGTAAACAAAAGTGCTCGAGTGAAGCTACATCTATAATCCTATGGTTGAAATCCGGTTTATTTCATTACAGTTGCAGAATAACGATGCAAGTTCAAATTACTCAGGACTTTCGATTTGCCTCATTTTGTAGTAAACTTGTGGTGCACAATAATGCTACAACAGGCATTCGCATCAAGGATGATCACCGTGTAGCGCCTTACACGTGCCACCTAGGCGCCATATAGGTCGATAGATACCCTAAACCGCATCCGCTCAGAAATCGTCGACAAATAATGCATAATCTGCAAAGGTGGATTATTCGTTGCCAAAGGGGGTTCTATCGCTTTATAAAAACTTTGTGGGTCAAAACGTGGGATTATTCCTGCCCTGGGAGCACTCGGGCTGAATCTGGACCTTCCGGGGCAAAAAAGTAAGTACCTGTTTGATTTTATTTGCGCGGAGTTTTGATAATACACTTTGTTTTTTTTTGTGTAATCAGTTGAGCCTCAATTCCAGCGATTGTGCACAACCCAAAGCAAACTTGCCCCCACATCCCAGTCGTGACAATATACAGGGTGTAGTGAAATGGTAGGTAGTATAGATCGAGTTTCAAAGTAGGCCTTAAGGATATCTTTAATATCACATATCTCAGGCACCCTGAACAAAAAGAAGTTACCTAAGAGTGACGTAAAACTAGACAAACAGTTGAAAAATCCAGTGCCCTTTTTGTTTTTTATCACAATCAACTCCTTTTACGCTGGATATTGACATGTTTGGCTATACACACAAAAAGCCACAGAATGGTGCTAATTGATTAGCAAAATAGATCAGAGTTTTTTGGTTTATTTTCATCTTGTTTAGCTGTATATGTGACACAAAACTCAAAATTCCATACTGGTCAAATTCGTTTTATTAATATTTTACCAAATTAATGCTTCAAAGTGAACCAAAAATACTTGGAAAACTCAAAATTCCATGATCGGATTCAGTTTTTTATTTGCTTATATTTTCTGCCTATAAACACACAAAACTTTCTCCTCCTTGGAGTGGTAGTAACATTTTTATCAAAATCCGAGCGGTACTTCTCGTGTAAATCCAAAAAACATAATGTCTCATTTTAGAAAGTTTTTACGATCACAATACCTCCCCGCCAAAAGGCGTGGAAAGAAAGAACGAGTCCGCCCCTGGGTTTTTAGGCGCCTGTCTAGATTTACGTTAACTTTATTATCTTTCAAAATGTCAACTAAACCGGTTTAATAGTGTTTGACATGTATGATATTAAAGATTTGGCGTATTTAGATAAATCACCCTGTATATCCGTGAAAACTAATTCAAGATCCTCCATACGATGTCCGAATAGGTACGACGCACCCTGTATATATGCATGTGTAACATATTATAACAATCATTATAGATAAGAGTCAACACACAAGAATTTGTTTGTTAGTTGCCATTGTATTTTACTATGGAAGCAACAGGAGTTTGTGGTAGTTTCTACGAGGGTTGTTCCAAAAATATGGTTCCCAACGCTGTATATTTGCCGCGCGTGATGCTAGGAGAAATATGGCAACACCGTCGTGTTCGTCGGCTCCCCCTACCACCGATCCCTACAGTATGTTCAGATAAGAGATAGACCGGATGTAAACAAAAGGTTCGGGTGATTTTCACGCTAACGCCGCCGTCTCGACGTAAAACATTAGCCCTCATTGGTCAATTAAATGCCTATGCCGAGCGGCAGAGCAGTCGTATCAAGGCAGAGTCACATTCAGATGCAGACGTGTTACGTATGTCGTGTGCATCATTGCAATTTGATATTTCTTTGGACGTTTTCGTTTGTTATCTTATTAAGTTGTTGAGTTTGTCGTTGTTATTGTTATACCTTGTTATTGATTGTTATTGTTATCAACTGCTTGCGCAAAATGCCCAGTAGTACAGATACTGCCGATGAAGTTGTAAACTCCTGTAGTCCACCTAGGAAACGCTCTAAAAAAAGACACCTGAGTGCAGAAATGAAAGAGGTCATTTTGAATATATATAAGATCGAGCGCGAGGAGAACGAGGCATCAACCATCAAAGAAATTGTTGTGAAGGTTTCTCACAAAGTTGGGGTGTGTCGCGCATCAGTGTTTAATGTGTTAAGACAATACAAAAAAATTACACCTTTTCTGAGCCAATGACCAGTAAACATCGCAAAAGTATTGTTAAATCATTGGATGAAGCTGATAAGCATGCGATTAGGAGGAAAGTGCATGAATTCTTCTTTAGGAATGAAATACCTACTATAGATAAAGTACTGCAGGAGGTAAATGGAGATACAACGTTGCCAAATTTCAAACGATCAACTTTCCATGCGTTACTGAAGCATTTAAATTTCAAATGGAAAAAACGGGGTCGTAATAGTTTACTACTGGATAGAGAAGAAATTGTGCTATGGAGGAGGGATTATTTAACAAAAATTGGGAAATATAGAAATCAAAACAGGAAGATTTATTGCCTTGATGAAACGTGGGTAAACGCAGGACACACTACAAGTAAAGTATGGGTTGATGATTCTGTAACTTCATCCAGGAGGGCCTTTCTAGATGGACTGTCCACCGGATTAAAAAATCCAGCAGGTAAATACGAGTAATAGACAACAATCGGATGTTTTTCAAACCTTGGGAACAAGGTTCTAAACATTAATTCCAGGGGGCAGATAAAACATATTACAAGTAACAAAACTTTTATAACTTTCGATAAAATGCGTGGATGTTTTATTGTCATTTTCATTTGTTAGAACTTTTTTAAGCCATGTTTTTATGTGTTTTCGATATTTCAATAATTTTTTAATATAATCTTAAAATATGTCGAACATTATTAACTTAAAAAAAGTTACTAAGTTTTATATTGTGTACCGTTCCTAATATTTCTAATCATTTTAATTCATACTTTAAGCTTTATAAAGTTATAATTTGTTAATATTAATATTTGCGCGTATTTCAGGTTCCTGATCATTCATTTTTTAAAGGTTTATAACTTTAAATTAAATTGTGAAGCGCTGAGTAATCATACGACGTTCAATATTCTTTCTTTCAATATGACTAAATAATCCCAATTATAGCAATCTGATACTCATGTCTCAATGTTTTTTCGCTGAATGTGATGAAAACATTTGAAAAAGGTTCGCTTATTGAAATAAATCTACACCAGTTAGTACTTCGATTTCCAGGTAAAGGGAAAAGGCTCATTATCTGCCATATTGGCAGTGAGGATGGATTTGTTGTTGACGGTCTGTGGTGCTTTGAGTCTAAGAAAACTGGAGATTACCACGAGGAAATGAATGGCGAATCGTTTGAACAGTGGTTTTCAAAAATTTTACCGAACTTAGAGGAAAACGCAGTAATTGTGTTGGATAATGCGCCTTATCATTCTCGAAGAATGGAGAACGTTCCAACAACGGCTTCAAGGAAAGTTGATGTTCAAAATTGGCTCCGCTCAAAAAATATCAACTTTGAAGAAGCAATGCTGAAAGTACAATTATTAAGAATTGTCAAGGATCACAAGGCGGAATATCAAAAATACGCCATTGACGAAATGGCAGCAAGTCAAAATAAAACTGTGCTCCGTTTACCTCCATACCATTGCGAGCTCAATCCCATTGAGCTCATATGGGCAGAGGTTAAAAATTATATAGCTAAGCATAATACAACTTTTAAATTTTGTGACCTCAAAGGACTTTTCAAAGAAGCACTAGAATTAATAACAGCGCAAAAATGGGAAAACTGTATTAAGCACGTGAAAGACAAAGTTGAAAAGAGAATGTGGGAACTGGACAATATTTTAGAGGAACAAGTCGAGCCATTCATTATTGACGTTGGTGCTTCAGGCAGTAGCGATGATGAAAGCTCATCAAGCTCATCTTTCCAATAAAAGATGTCGTTCATCAAATTCGTTAAGTTATAAGTAATTATAAAGCTACTGTATTTTTTAATTAATTATTGACATTTTTGAACCCATTTTGGCAAAACCTGTTCAAGAATCTACTTTCTGACAATGTTCAACCATTCACATTTTTTTTACGTTTTGAACGTTTTAATTTGGTTACATATTTACCTAGAAATCAAAAAATATACTAATCAATATTCTAAAAGCAATTTTAAGAGATATACGTTATTTTTAATTTAGGCTAATTTAAACGCCATTTTGAGATTATATTCGACTGTATTTCACCAAACATCAGGCGGCATCCGAAGCTGGAAATCGAAGCGAAAATTTTGAAACCCTTATGAATATTTACATCATTATATATTTATTACACCACCCCCACATGATCCTATATCCATCACCAATCGTATACACATCGAATTGTGCTAATTTACTACAAAGTTACGCAAAGCAGCATCTACTATCTAAAATATGTACTGCGTGGCTCTTAATACGTCCCTGCCGAATGTTACAGCGTTCGATATCACGTGGTCTTGTTTATGTCCGGTCTATCTCTTATCTGAATATACTGTATATCCAAATATGAGCTTGTATACTAGACCATCATTCCGCACTGCTTCTTGGGAATAATTTTCGGCGATACTACAATGTTTAGAAGTGCAGCTTAACGTGTAAACAATTTTATTCTCGAATCAAATTAAGATTTATTATTTAAACACATCCTTATCCGATGATCTAAATATTTTCAAGATACTGTTTAAGGACGGCACAAAACAAGCAAAAATATATATGATCCCCCGCTAGCTTTTCGTATAACAATATTGTTTCAGTATAAATATATTTTATGGGTGTTTGCATAAATAGTATGTCTGAGATCTTGACACATAAATTCGAACCAGCGTATGCCTACTATTTTCCATAAAATGAACACGTTTTATATACCGTTGGTTTGAATTCAATCATTAGAACCATTTTTTTATCTAAATTGACAAATTAGCGAAATTGAACTGGAATGCCTTGTTTGTTTTTTATATTAGATAAACCTTCAAGAGTACACGCTGCGTAACGAGTATGTGATTTTCCAACGATTACTGATATACTAAGTTTAACAATAAATATTAGTTCATGACTCACATACAAATCATTTTATGTCAATAACTATATATTTGGTAGATGCAATACTTTTATGTATCCCGACGCGTCTGACTTCCTCTGTGCCGTAATTTATTAACGTATACACGTTTAAGTACGGCTTCCTGTTAATATTATCGAGTTATTTTCCCACTAGCTGCACCAACGTGCGATTATTATAAATACTTGAAATATTATTAGAGAAAAGACACTTTCAGAATGCATACTGTACCAAAAAATAACTAGAGTAGAGGTAATTACTGATGATGCATTGTTTTAAGGTGTTTTGCCGACGAACAAAATTTTCATAGTGTGTAACTGACATCAATCTACAGATATTTACGGTTTATTTCATTTTTGGAATTGCTAGTCCTTAGAAAACATAAAATTTCTATCACAAAACGTTGTTACCTATAATTCCGGAGAAATTATAAAATAGTGTGAGAACAGTTGATTCTAGTTTTAAAGAAATCATGGAAGTAGTATGGAAATCTAACATATTTTAACAAATGAAGTTGACATATGACGTCACCATTCATTTGATGAAGTAACTGCCGCCATTTTGAGTCCAATACGGCGGACGCTACAAAATGGTGAACCATCATTTTTCCCTAAACGATGGGTATCAAATGAAAGGACTTGATGAGGGAAACATAATGAGCAAAGCGACGTCGTTCTAGATCCAATATGGCGGCCGCTGCAACATGGCGATTTACATTTTTCATGTTGCCCCAAGATGGCGTTTATGATTATCATAGTAACCCCATGACATAGGTATCTATTTGAAGGGCTTTATGAGAGAAGCATAACAAGCAATGTGGTGTCATTCTAAATCCAATATGGCGACCACTGCAAAATGGCGATTTATTATTTCCATAGCCACCCCTATACGATGGGTATCAAATGAAAGGACTTGATGAGGGAAACATAGTAAGCAAAGCGATGTCATTCTAGATCCAATATGGCGACCGCTGCAACATGGCGAATTACATTTTTCATGTTTCCCCAAGATGGCGTTTATGATTAGCATAGTCACCCCCATGACATAGGTATCAAATTGAAGGGCTTTATGAGAGAAACACAACAAGCAACATGGTGGCATTCTGAATCCAATATGGCGACCACCGCACAATAGCGATTTTTAATTCCAATAGCCACCCCTATATGATGGATATCAAATGAAAGGACTTGATGAGGGAAACACAGTAAACAAGGTGACGTAATTTTATATCCAATAAGGCGGCCGCTGCAATATGGCGATATATGCTGCCCCAAGATGACGTTTATGATTATCATAGTCACCCCCATGACATAGGTATCAATTTGAAGGGCTTTATGAGAGAAACACAACAAGCAACATGGTGGCATTCTGAATCCAATATGGCGACCACCGCACAATAGCGATTTTTAATTCCAATAGCCACCCCTATATGATGGATATCAAATGAAAGGACTTGATGAGGGAAACACAGTAAACAAGGTGACGTAATTCTAGATCCAATATGGCGGCCGCTGCAACATGGCGAATTAAATTTTTCATGTTGCCCCAAGATGGCGTTTATGATTATCATAGTCACCCCCAAGACATAGGTATCAATTTGAAGGGCTTTATGAGAGAAACACAACAAGCAACGTGGTGGCATTCTGAATCCAATATGGCGACCACCGTACAATAGCGATTTTTAATTCCAATAACCACCCCTATATGATGGATATCAAATGAAAGGACTTGATGAGGGAAACACAGTAAACAAGGTGACGTAATTCTATATCCAATATGGCGGCCGCTGCAATATGGCGATATATGCTGCCTCAAGATGACGTTTATGATTATCATAGTCACCCCCAAGACATAGGTATCAATTTGAAGGGCTTTATGAGAGAAACACAACCAGCAACATGGTGTCATTCTGAATCCAATATGGTGACCATCGCACAATAGCGACTCATAATTCCAATAACCACCCCTACACGATGGATATCAAATGGAAGGTGTTGATGAGGGAAACACAGTAAGCAAGGAGACGTCATTCTAGATCCAATATGGCGGCCGCTGCAACATGGCGATTTACATTTTTCATGCTGCCCCAAGATGGCGTTTATGATTATCATAGTCACCCCCATGACATAGGTATCAAATTGAAGGGCTTTATTAGAGAAACACAACAAGCAACATGGTGGCATTCTGAATCCAATATGGCGACCACCGCACAATAGCGATTTTTAATTCGAATAACCACCCCTATATGATGGATATCAAATGAAAGGACTTGATGAGGGAAACACAGTAAGCAAGGAGACGTCATTCTAGATCCAATATACACGATAAGCGAATAACTTCAATCTGTCATATGGACTCTTGATACTGTCTATTGGTGAAAAGCTGTCACCGATATCAGTTGGATTCCCATGTAAGTATTAGAAATGAATCCGGGGCAAAGCACCGCAAATGTGAGCAGTACTCCAGGCCGGAGTGAGGAGTGAGAAGGCAGGATGACGAAAAGTAGGTACTTCTCAAGTCTAAATAAACAGCCCACTCTCTTCCACCAGCTGCTTTTAGCTGAGACACAAAATGTTCATCGTATTATTATTTTATCTCTACGCTGTTCACATTGCATTTATGTGATAATTTCCGGACTACAAACCAGATAATGGTCGCGGGTTGTTAATTAGTGTACTAGGTACGCGTAATATAAAACGAAACCTTATTTCCATCCATTACCACATACATATTAGAGTGTATCGTATAGATTGGTGGTATAGGTGCCGTATAAATATGCAAAGAATTTTCTAATTATAACACTCACCTCCGTTGGATTTGTTATTGTTCCTATATGACCTGGTCTGTTTGAAACCGCAGTCTGCTTCAGTGAGACCTATAGAAAATAACGTCAATAAGTTTACAAGCTTAAAAAGGAAATATATTTTACAATGTTTTAACTATAAAATAAATATCGACCTTTGTTAACTTATGATCGATGTTTGTAGTCAATAGTCGGTGTCAATTTGGTAACAAAGATTAGTGGAAGATATCCGGAAATGTTCTGTCTAGTTCCGGTAGGTAATGGATTACTCGTATGTCCAAGAATGTGTAGTCCATCGTATAGTACATAAAATATTGTTATACAGTATCCTTTATTAGTGCAGAGTCAGCTTACTTGACGTCATTTTTTGTAGAAATTTATTTTTTCATCAGCCAAAGGATAAAGCTTTCCAAAAATAAGATTTTTGGCTCATTATCATGCAGAGTGAAAAAATAGCAATATTACGTTAGGCATAGTTCATTACTGACGATCTAAATGAATTAATTGTTTTTCATTATTTTTCAGTAATGCGTCAACTGTTCAAATTACAGGAAGAACCATTGCACAGTAACTTTTTTGTGGACCTGTGTCTACGTAGGGGCTCCCAATAAACCATTTTTAAATAGAAATTGTTACACTTTTTTGTACCCAAGATATTCACTATTAAGTCTGAGTCATCCTGTATATCGCATAATATACAATCGTAACTTTTCTGTGCCGAACGGCAGACTTGGTTTTGTGACCTTGAAATTTATTTTCAATAGTACTTTAAGGATAATCATGTCCTCTAATATGTGTAAATGGCCGCTAATGACAAAAGTATCTCCTCTTGTTAACGTACAAGCATTTATATAGGTCATATATGTATCTAGAACATTTGTAGCAATCAATTCACGAAATATAAAGTACTCGAATGCTTTCAACGCGAAATAATAATACAGAAAGACCGAATGTTAAACATTGAACTTGATTAGTGCTAAAAGATAGCAATAAGACGGGGGACGGAGTGATATGATTCTTTTATACGAATGTCCCAGCAATACGGTAATTATGAGGGTTGTTTCAAAAATAAGGTTCCCATATTTTTTTCTGCGACTAAGACGAATTCACCATTGGAAACGTTTAAGCTATTTTTCTCCATAGTCGCCATTTTTTCTACTCATTTTTCAGATGAAAAATCCACTTTTAGACAGTTTAGAAACTTCGAGCAAGGTTTACTGATTCTTCGCCACAGCTTCCTCGGACATTGACGGCCTTCCGGTTTGTTGTGCATCGTGGATGATCGTATACTTTATCTGAAGTCACTTGAAATAGCATAAAAACCTTTGGTCGGCGCGTCCTTTGTAATTTCATGACGTATCATAGGCGTGCGGTCATTTATTTAGAACGATAATAATAATAAAGTTTTTATATCACAATAAATGGATTTTACTATCTTCTTATTTTTTTGATTTGGGATAAAAAATACTTATATTGGGAGTTTAATTTATGTTGACTGAAAGTTAAGAAATGGAAAAATTACAGAATTCCAACGTTTGACATAGGCAAATATTTACATAGCAGGTAGGTATATAAAAAGGTATATAAAGACTTACATTATAGGTATTTATATATCATCCTCGCCTTCGGAGCTGTCGCTAGAGTCATCTTGTAAAGGAATTACAACGGGATTTACAGGAGGCAAAACACAATATTCATTTTCTTTTTCAATAATATGGCTAGAACACTACTTCCATAGGTCTGTGGCAGCAATATGAGATACTGCATCTCTTATTGTGGCCAATAGCGATTCACTTAATTGAGGGGTCTGATTATGTTTTCTTACTTTTTTTTAAAGCAGCCCAGACCAACTCAATCGGGTTAAAAATGCAGTAATAGGGAGGTAGACGTAATACTTCATGGCCATTTTGCTGAAGCAGATTGTCAACCACATACTCTTTTTCAAATTTTTGTCTTTTAATAAGATCCAATAATATGGCTTTGGTTGATTTTTGTGGTATTTCCATTCCCTTATCCTTCATAAAATCAATAATGTCTTGTTTTTTTGTGCCTTTATTCGGAATTTTGTTTTTCTGTCGGGAATGGTATGGCTCATTGTCCATAATAATCACTGCATTTGGGGAAATGTTTGGTATTAACTGCTGCTCTATCCACTTTTCAAATAAGTCGGAGGTCATGTCCCCATGATAGTCGGCACATGATTCTTTGATATTTTTGGCAGATAACAGCATTAGGTATAAATCCATTTTCACTGCCAGCATGGAGAATAATGATTCGTTTTCCACGGTTGCATGGTGCATTTAAAATGTACTTGTTGCTGTCGTCAACCCAGCCGTACTGCACAACATCATAGGTATCATACCACGTTTCATCCAGGTAAATCAGATTTCTTTTCTGCTCTCTATAGATTTTAACTTTGTGCAAAAATTCTTGGCGCAATTCAACGATTCGAGACGACTCCATAATCACCATTCTTTTATCTAATTTTTTGTATTGAAAACCACACAGTTTTACAATACAGTGCAGTGAGTCTAAGCATTTGTAATTATAAAAATCTTCAGGTTAATCTTTTAATTTATCCCGTATCATTTCCAACGTGGGCACCAAATTTTCTTTATAAAATCCGTATATTATACGACGAATATCTTCCTGAAAACCCACGTCTATTCTTTTTAATTTTTGCCCTATGCGCTTTCTGTGGAAGGAATGGTTGACTACATCTTCCCTTTTTATAACCCGATAAATGGTAGACCGACTGATTTTTGTCAGGATACAAATTCTGTTTAAAATTTGATTTTGCGAGGAATCTGGATTTTCGTTTTTCAGACAATCATACATCTATAGGATTACTCTTTGGGTCTGTTCCTCTAAATCTTTATGAAAGAATTCTGCCTGCACAGGTTCATCAACCATCTCCTCGTGGCTTGGAGCATTTTCCCAAGGTCTCCAAAGAGCCATATTTAGGACACACAAGAACAATCAACACAACAATTAAATCAACAAGTAAAATGAGTATTCAAAAGTCAAAAACACACAAACTAATAAAATCTATGAAAAAACACGGACAGACTAAAGAAAACACGTTTATTCACCGCTACACGGCACTGGCTAAACTGTTTCAATTTTCAGTAGCCACCTGCACTTGTTCGGAGCTCTGAAATACACGCTTTCTCATTGGCTATGTCCACGCATAGGCGTGCTTTACTCCACGTGGACCGGTGAAACTGCCTTTGATCTTATACGGGGGATATTTGCTGCGAAATTTGGCGATTTTTGCAGCAACAGAGCGTGTTAAATATAGATATATAAAACGCACCCGGTATTTCACAGTGTTTTAAGTGACTTCAGATAAAGTATACGACCGTCAAAGAGCTCTCTTTACCATTTGAGGACATGTTGAATGTTTATACACGTTTCCCCATATGCTTCACTTAACTGGCGATGAATTTCTATGGGTGGTAACGTTTTGGGCGCTTCTTGTTGGGACCTACGACCTTTATTTATTCACTGATTAGTTTCTTCCCAAGGATGTGCCTAATTGACGAGTAATGCCATAAGTTTGAAGTATTCTGGCGCTCCTGGAAACAACTGTTTTCTTATTTGAATTTATGTGAGAAGCAATAAAGCGTTTTGTGCTGTATAAGCAACATGTTTCAAATGAAGATAATAATTTTCTTGTTTCAGGAGGAAAGCTGCATTGGCAGACTCACAGAACGCGCAAGTCTACCATTTCTTTTCAGGGAATTGCTGTATATTAGTGCCTTTATGGCCTTCTTGATTTTCAAGTGGATAGTTTTTTGGATGGTAACAAAGTAGCGTCAGGATTAGAAATTGTTAAGAATTACGAAAGATTGTAAGAAGCATGCGTCTTAACTGGTGCTTACCGCTAATTTATGTTTCATTTATCAGCTGATGAAGAAACGCTTTTTTTCTATCTGAAATTACAGTTTTATCGTTCTTTTATTTGTTATACGATCAACAAATTATTTTGTCCAATATGTGTATAGTTTCTTCTGTAACGTGTCACAAAGTCTTTCCGTTGTGTATTTACAATCTACTCGTATTTATATTACAAAAATTATCTGAAGTGTTAGGAGTTCGTGGCGTAAAAATTAGTTGACTAGATTTACATTGCTAAGGTGTCTTGAGCTTGACTTGATTTCAAGTAGCTTCAAAATCGTGAATCCCTAGTACTAAGAACAAATTTACTATTCACGTCTTAAGTATCTCCATACAGATCTTTTGACCGTTACAGCTTGAGTCGGCAAGCAAACTTACAATAAAAAGCAATAGTTTTAGCAAATAGTGATATAAAAACAGGAGGCAATAACATAAAGCTTTATCTACCCAATTAATGATATCCGCAGCCGAATAAGTAACTGTTTGTCTTTTTTTATTATCGCCACCGTGTATATTCATATAATCAAAGCGGGTTCTCATATTAAATGTCTTCAAACCAGTCCATTCATTGGTTGAGTGCCACTACCTCCACACATACGTACTTTTCTACAAAATCTCAGAGTACTCACACAGAATAAACAGGAGAATTGACCACCTAAACCTAGCACCACACTTCCACATTTTCAAGCACCGAAATCGAAGCTACGCTGCAACTTCACATCACCAGCACATGCACTTGCGTTCCGGTACCGCTTCCGTTGTTCAGAGCAACCAGCGTCTGTGATTTTTCGAGTCAAGCTCAAGCTGTGCTGCGTGTTTCCGCTGACGAGACGCATACCGACGAGGTAACGCGTCGCTGTACCAAGAACCGAAGATACGGAGGGTCAAATTGTGTGACTCAGACAAAAGACCAAACGGCCGCTGGCTGCTGCCTCACGGTGTCGTAGATCGTACAGGGCGGAACGTGGAAACGTACGGGGTCCGGCTCAAGCGTCTGTCGGTTTTTAAAAAATCACAAAATCGGTTATTTATAAACAAATTTATTGACGGATTCGGGTTCACAATGAAATAATAGCGTTTGTCACAAATGAGTGGAAAATCACATCAGTCATATGGTGACCGTTTGACGATGGATGGATTGCGGGAGGCGAACATCGTTCTCTCAACTTGGCCGACTTCCACGCGAATTGCCGCCTTCAATTCGTCCAGGGTTCGGCACGGGTATCATGTAAAAAAACCTGTAAAACGTCAAAAAACCTATAAGATGTCATCTTGCAAACTAGGTAGTTTTTAGGGCGCAAACAGTCATTCCACGTTTGCTCTCTAGGATCGTTGTGAACGTCCATCTAAGGAGGAATCACTCAACTAAACTACACGCATTATTGGTTGCATACGTTCTGTGAGGCCAAACGGTCGTTGTTTGCAGTGTTGCCATACGTAGCGGAATTCCGCTATTTTGAGAAGAGCGGCGTAGCGGCGGTAGAGCTAATTAGCCCAAAATGTAGCGGAATTTATTACATACAAAACTATCATATTTATTTCACTGTTTTAACGTTAATAACGTTCTAAATCCTAAATAGGCAGTGGCTAGAGTCTGATTTATTATCACATTAATAATAAAATTGGTGCATTTGGTGCCGCTTGAGCCATCTAGGAACAGAGAAGAGAATTATTCCGCTTGCCTTTTTTTTTCAATAACAGATGGCGTACGTACTGCTTTCAATACTAATCGTTTCTAACAGGTCTCAGCAGGCAGACATAATATTAGGTTTCTCGCTTTGTATTGTATTTTTCAGCTCTGGGTATATACTGTTTAGTTTCGTTTATATTAGTGTTCTTATTTTTGAGTTGATCATTTTATTGATATATAATTTGCTGCAGATTTTAATATTAAATCTACTGGTAAGTAACAAAACTGCTTAAATATCTAACATGATCCCCACTGCTTATTACCAATTGAACAAGTGAATGTTGGTCCGCATACAATGGATGCAATGAAACACTGCAATAACACGGCAATCGAACAATTTAAATTAAAATGTGTCACATTTTACCAAAAATCGGTAGAAGAGTCCCTTAAAAGATTTCCTATCAAAGACAACTTCTTTTCAGAGCTAAAGTTTCTCTCACCGGTTGATGTGATGAACAATCGTCTTATTATAAGTGATACCTTTCATGACGCCGTTTTAAAAAAATTTGCCCTTCATATTGAAACCGAAAAGGCAATTCTGGAACTAAAGAAAATATGTATTTATTTTAGTGATAGTGAGAAAGAGGAAATTTTAAAAACAAAAAGTAATGTCATTGAATTTTGGTCGTTTGTAAACGACCTCAAAATTTTAATGACGAATATTTATTTCGCAATATAGTAAACTGGCTCTAATCATTTTAACATTCCCTCATGGAAACGCTGATATTGAGCGAACTTTTTCTTATATGCTTGATTACAAAACAAAAAAAAGAAATAAAATAATACCATCAACTTTGTCTGCACTACTTACAATTAAATTAGACTTGGAATCAAAAAAACAGTGCTGTTTATCCTATAGTTTTAATGAGAATCATTTAAACAAATATAAAAAGAATTTATATACTGTAAATAAGGAAGAACAAGCTGAAGAAGAAGTAATTTCTGATTCTGACTGTGAATAAAATAAGCAAACGTAGGCATTTCCACGTTTCCGCTTCTTCTTTGTCATTATTTTTTGTTTTTTTTTTTCTATTAAGATTAAGATATTGGTGATAGTTTCTAAACCAAAGACAGTTTTGTTTTTTTAGAGGTATACTTTTTATGTTTTTACGAAAAACTGCAATTATATTATGTTACTGTTTGTATTTTTAGTAGGGTTTTTAGACAGTGTTTAAAAAAAAGTGAATATAAAAAAAATATATTTGTTGTTTATTTTAAGCCTCCCCCCCCCTTAAATTTTTAGACCGTAGCGGCATGTAGCGGAATTTTGCGATACGTGTGACGGATATTTTAAACTTCGCTCTGGCAACACTGGTTGTTTGTAGTTTTTATCTCTGAGAAGAAAGTTGGTTGAATAGCAAGATCGCATCTGGATGATTATATGTATTGGTCTGCATGTGTATATAAAATCGGTGATATCTGCTGTGTTAGAAATCATTCCTAAATATGCTGCCAATGAAGTATATCTATTGGCTGTGCCAGACGGGTTATTTTTATGTTGTGCTTCTTGAAGAGAGGTTATGTTCAAATTACGAAAAACAGAGGAGAATTACGGGAAACCATCTCCGCGCCCGCGTTGTGTGTAATTACTGTTAGCATGTATATGGCTTGTAATTCGACAGTGTACAGTGAATATAATTATTTCTTATCTCTCTCATTTTTGAAATTCAGCAAATTTGTATATGTAATTTCCAGAATGGATAAGAAAAAGTGGATGCGCAACTAATTTCTAGCTTTGAATCTCAATTAAGTGTATTTGAGACAAGAACCCAATGTAATTATCATCAACACATACAATTTACAGCTTAGACCTCCCGTAATGCCATCTCAGAAGCAGATTTTACATCGCACATCAGAGCCAAAGATTGATAACAAGCCTCATGACATTTAGGCAACACGTACAACTAAGGTTTTAAGTTAACATCTTGTAGAAAAACCTACATAATGTCAAAAAACCAGCATAATGTCAAAAAAAATCGGCAACTTTTCAAGATACGTGATACCCGTGCCGAAGTCACGGTAACAGCGTTGCCATTACCGTCTTCGAAGAGGTAAGGGCCGATGATGCAAGTTTGCGATGTTCGCGATGATTTTACCGTTGCAGCTCAAGTAGAGTTTCTAGATAGGAGCTCGTGGCGGATCTGCCTAAGAAAATGGATATTCTGTATAAGAAAATCCAATAATTTTTGCTAGAGTTAATTTTTTTGGTGGTATCGTTAAGTTATTGCTTTTTGATGATAATTTCAAATTGGCGTCATAATAGGGCTGGAGCATTTACATTTATGATAAACCCTTTGGTCGAAAATCTCGAAAACCTTCCTTTCTATGTACAAAAGTAATAAGAAAAATTTTGTACAGAACTAAATTATTTATCATTTTACTTCTATAAAAAATTGTCGTATAGTCAACAGCTTATGAGAAACTTAAGGGTAAATGTACATGATATGAAAACGGGTCAAAACTAACTGTTGGATGCTCGGCTCTGGTGAAATTTCACCAGAACTGGCAACACTGGATATGACCCTAACCGACCCAAGCCACGTTTATGCAACAACGTATACACTACAAACCATCATGACATTTGTTGTTTTGTGAGAATATTTTGTGATTTGTGATTGAAGGCCGATGGTACGTCTACTGTCAAGAAGTGTCAGAATTATCACAACATTTGTCAAAATATGTTTGATTCAGCCGTACGCCCAAACATTGCAAACTGAGACTGTAACTGTAAACAAACATAATTTGACTTAACAAAATGATGAAAGAAATTGATGATATTATCGCGACACAAGGCGATAAATGTAGTGACAGCCTGAAAAAGTTTGTGAAAAATGTAAGATATGACGAATAATAATCATTTTTGGTCTAGATAATCTTATTACTGTCAACAGGAATCCCAGTCTTTCTCATTCCCTGAATTGGATAAAGGTAACAAGCGAAAGGACCTATGGGGAGCTTTATATCATATCGCTAAAACCACACAAGTCAAAGAACACTTGAAAAATTGCTTAATAGCAATTCGCATTCTGAGGTTTGTGTTGGTATCTATATTAGCTTAATGATAGTATTAATATTCAATCAATAAATTGGTGAATTATAACGTCTGACTCACAATGTGAGATAATATTATAAAAAAAGTATTTTATTTATGCCCTAAATACAGCTTGTATTATGATTATTGTTGCGAAAGTCTTCATCGAAACTTTTTTCAGTCGTGAGAAACAGGAACTGAGCGGATTGGTAACAGAGGAATGGTTGTCTCTAATAAAAGAAACGTCTGGCTTAGACCAAGGACAGCAGATGCCAGATACTGCCATCGCAACAGAGGCCCAAAAAAGCTTATGCAACATTGTTTTCAATTGTCAAAGTATAGCGAACAGGTGTTGCCAGAATGGCATTCTTCAGAGCATTAAGGAGAGGATAAAGAAGGAGTATGTTTCACAATCAGCAGTTCATGTCACAATTATTTAATTTACGAGGGTTGTTCCAAAAATCGCGATTTGTTAGACCTTAAGGATATTTTTGCGTGCAAAAGTCAGATGGCCGGCCGTATTTTGCACCTGACGGCAACGGCGATGAGCATACAGGCGCTTCTAGTTGGGATCGGTGGTGGGGGAGCCGACAAGCATGACAGTGTTGCCAGATTTCGCCTAGCATCACGCGCGGCAAAGATACAGTGCTGAGAATTATATTATTGAGACAACCCTCGTATTATGTAAAATAGTTCTTCAGTATGAGAATGATCAAACTTGATTTAACTATGATATCTTTGTATTTGTGCTGTTTATGGCTATTCGTTCATTCAAGCATCATGGCTCAATTGAATAGAAAAGTAGAGACTTATGCAGGTTTCTGTAAATAGGAGTGAATAAAAATACCCAATACTTTTTCCTCTTATTACAGTGATCCAAACCTTCCACAAGAAGTTAAATTTTTCGACATGAAGCTGTTCTTTCTTCTAACAGCACTGTGTCCTTCAGAACGTAAAGAATTGGAAGAATTCCAGTATATTCTAGTGAAAATTTTGGAGGGCATATTGAAAGATGCAGCTGAAACTCATATGCACTCTGATAAACTACCTACAGTATTTTTGTCTGTAAGTTGAAAAAAATCGTTAGTGGATGAAATGTGTAGTGTAAGCTGTTTTTAGAGAATTGGGACTATACAGGGTGTCTGCAAAGTTGGGGTTTTCCTTTACACGACGTGTAGATCTTGAAAACATAAGCAATTTTTCTTAGTACCATATACACCAATGTCTTAAGGGAACCGAGATAAAGGGCTCTGCAACATCAAAAATATCTGAATACCGTCCTGTGTCAGGTCAGTATGCAACCTTCAACCGACGGTTACGGTCACGCGTGCAGAGGTAAACGAACCCGTATAATCAATTGCGTTCCAAAAACAACAAGCACTAGAGACGTGGCTAGAGAAGTGCAAGTATCAAAAACTAAAGTGTGGCAAACGCTGCGTGAAGAGGGGCTGTATCCGTTTCACGTCCAACGTGTACAAGCCCTTCAACCTGACGATTTTCCAGCAATAGTGCGGTTTTGTGAGTCGTTGTTGCATCAACATGACAATAATCCGAACTTTTTGAAGTGCATATTGGTGACAGACGAATCTACGTTCACGCGTAATGGGGTGAATAACTTTCGCAACACTCATGTTTGGTCAGTAGAAAATCCGCACGCTGTCCGTCGGGCACATTTTCAACAAACATTTTCGGTGAATGTTTGGGCTGGCATGGTGAACGGTATGCTCATTGGACCATTTATTCTCCCAAATCGATTGGACGGGATGCAATACCTAGACTTTTTACGCAACATTTTGCCTTCCTTGTTAGAAGATGTGCCATTAAGTGTAAGACAATCAATGTGGTTTCTGCACGATGGTCATATTTGTTACCTCTGTTCGTGGTCTACTGGTCTGCACCACCGCCGGCGTCTGCTAGGTAGCGCATTAGCTGATTTCATTTTCTGTTGGAGCGGTATGATTTCGGACAGAGACGTACTTAGCCCTTCTCGTCAACTGGAGAGTGAGTACTTTTTTCTTTATTTTTTTTTTACTTGGTCGCCCTCGTTTCACTACACATTACCTTTGTTATTTCAAAGGTAGTTGTTTCTGAAAAGGAAACACCCAACTTTGCGGACACCCTGTATTGTACAATAATACAAACATATAGAGGGTTATTCGCAAGTCGTGACCAAAAATGAAACATCATTCACGGAACCGCATTTTCTATGTAACATTTTTTCCTAGAGTGCTGCATTAAAAATATACGGGGTGTTGAAGTTTAAAAATAAAAAACAATTTTGTTTAATATCTTCAAAACCGTTAACTGTAATCAACTAAAATTTAGTATGTGGATTTACCTAAGTATTGTCCACGTTCACAAGTCTATACTTTAATTCACCGTGTACCATTGGCAGAGATACAGGGGATTAGTGGCATTATTTTTCCAAATAAAAATAGTACAGCACTATTTTTTTCGAACCGCGCAATCTTTCGAATATTACCTTCAATTTACTACAAATAATGACTACTGTATTTTTTCCTAGAGTGCACTGTTTTCGGAAAAATAAAAAAAACAAATTAGATAATCAAAGCGTTATTTCAATAAATGTTCTGATGGATACAAATGCGGCATTTTTTTTATGAATAAAAACGTATTTCCGCACAATTTGTGTAGGCCCTGTATATTAGTGTATAACTCAGCTCATTCAATTTTAAATTTTTTTTGACTGGGGAATGAAAGGGGCCTTACAAAGCTGATGTCACCGACGTCTATATACAGGGTGACTTTGAAGTTGAGTCATTAATTTTCAGATAATGATTGTAGAAGGAAGATAAACCAAAATATGAGTGTAAAAATAAAAAAAAAATGTTTACCTTGTTTTATAAAGTATCCTCCCGACAAGTATTTCAGTGCGGACCTGTATTTGATCGTGAGGTCCCCTGTGAGGTCTTAAGTCACCTGATTCACGAGCCCGTTGTACTACATTAACAAAGGCACGAGGGGTTGGTTGCACTCGATTGGGAAACCGATCCGCATAAACATGTGCCATTTTTTATTTCGTTTGAGCCACGCAACAGACACCACTATTCACTCACGCGTTACCGACTGACACTGACTGTATGTATAACTGAACTGAATAAAATAATTTATTGTAAAAACATCGTTCCAAATTCCAAACACGAGCACATGATATTATTATTGAGACAGGGCGGTACTCAAACTTCCAAAGGGCTATAACTTTGTTACTTTAATTTCACCAGAAAAATGGTAAAGGAAAAAACATTTCTTTTGATCAGATCTACTCACTGTTAAAATAAATGACTCAACTTCGAAGTCACCCTGTATAGTCTAACGCCGCCACTGATACGAGAGTTGTTTGAAAAATCAGGTTTCCAGGCACGAGGATTTTTTTATTTGAAAAAACAAATACATTTGAAACGTTGATCTTTAAGCTATTTTTGTACATAGTCGCAATTTTCTTCGCAGCTGACGGCGACGACGATGAAGGCGTCCATTGCTCATGGCTGTCAGGCGTTGGGAATTTTATTTTTGAAACGACCCTCGTATGTGGTATTGCAATCCTATCCTATACGTATCTTGTTCCATAGAACGATCAGATAGACATGGCATGCGAGGTACTGAAGACCCTTTTCAACATCACGGTGCATATTGATGAAAATAACCCCGAGCTGATGGCGAACTGCTACACCTTAGTGGAAGTTCTGCGAAACTATTTGCTCATTTCCTCCACGAGTTTGGAAAAAACATGGATGTTACGCAACAACATAGTCAACCTGCTGACGAACATGCCGAACGAAACGTATGAATCGTTGCTCATCAAAGTAGAAGACGAAAGCAAAGTGCCTAAAACTTTGCAATTCGAGGGATACAACATGACGGCGATCTATGAAATTCTTATGTTTTTGAAAGCGAAATTCAACGACGAACCTGTAAGTGATTAATAATTTTGCAAAAATTTATCTTTCCACATTATCAAGTCAAAACGTTAAATAAAATGTCACATCTTTTATGATACCTAGCGACGCACCTTGCAACATTTCTTTACCATTTAGTATATGAACCATTTTACGTGAAAATATAGTATTGTAAGTACTGTTTATTGTGGAAGAATTCAAAATATATTGACAAAAAAAAAATAGTTTAATGTCTAGGAAATTTTGTTAACATTGTGTCCTTCATCGTCAAAGGCTAAATGTGGGAGGTTATTACATCAACGCCTTGCCTCGCTGTTTTGTCAAGCGTTGGTAAGACATCATTGTCGTATTCCAGAAAGTATCCAGTCAGCACGAAGTACTTTCTCCAGTCGTATCAGTGCTTCTAAAGGGAGCGAACGGAAATCGCTCTATAAGAAAATTCCTCAGGCACCACATACTGCCTCCTTTAAAGGACGTACACACGAGACCGGAACAAGGAGACAAGCTCAGGAACCATCTGTGCAGGTTACTTACGACTCCGATTACGCAGCTAAGAGATTTGGTCGCGGAATTGTTGTTCGTGCTATGTAAAAAGAATGGTAAGTGTTTCTTAAAACCGTTAAAACGACTTGATATCTCATAAAACTCCTATCAACATCGACAAGCTATCCTTAGCACGTTTATACCAAATACGGAAGTCTGGAATCTAGGCTTCTCTTTCACGACTGTTTCATTGTTGATTTCTAAAGCGTCTAGAGGGGGTTAGAATGCTCTCATATTTTGCAAAATGATGGTAACCTTGACTACGACCTTTAAGGACTTTTCAAGGTCGGGTCAATATTTCCGAATGGATTTCCCACTTTTCACATCGGAATTGAAAAGAAGGCAAAATCTACGTCCTAGGATCACTTTGGTCATTACTTTCAAGCCGTTTCAAGGTCAATTCAGGACATCGAATACAATTTTCTTTGACAGGAATGTTCGACAGCACAGTTGTAAGGCTTTTGAAGATCACCCAAAGGTGACCTTGACCATGGCCTTGAAGGTCAGGTCAAAACTTCCATTTTTATACTGGAATTGGGAAAAGTAGGAAATTTTCCGTCTGAATGTTACCGTGACCTCAGTCAAGGTCATTTCAAGCCTGAATGTTATTTGATGTCAAAGTCACATTTGGACGTAAAAATTCCTGCTTTTACCTCATCCTGTATAAAAATGAGAGGTGCACATTTGACATTCTGATTGCCTTGAAGGTCACGATCAAAAGGTCATCTTTGGACGATCCCATAAACCTCACAACTGAATCTGGAAAAAATAGTAAATTTTTCGTCCGAATGTAATCTTGACCTCAAAGTCAAGCTTAAATGTTATTTGAGGTCAATGTCACACTTGGCCCTAAAATTTCCTGTTTTTTCCTCATCCAGTATAGAAATGAGAGGTTTCTTTTGGAAATTTTTGGAGGATCATGTTCAAGGTCACCTTTGGATGATATCATGAACATCATAACTGTGCTGTCCATCATTTTTGCTAGAGCAAATTCTTCTCGATGTCTTGATTTGACCTTGGAATGGCCTTGAGGGTAATGGTCAAGGTCATTGCAAATGGCCATGGTAATATTTCGTGAACTGCGCATTCTAGGAGAAACATTGTACATCTGATCATCACCTTGGTCAAGGCCGTTCAAGGTCAAATCAAGACATTATAAACAATTTGTTTCATAAAAAATATTCGATAGCACAGTTGCAAGATTTGTAAGGATCACCCAAAGGTGACCATGACCATGACCTTGAAGGTCAAGTAAAAATTTCCATGTTTAACTGGGACTGGAAAAAGTAGTAAATTTTTTAGCCCGAATGTGATCTTGACCACAAAGTCAGTCATTTCAAGCTTAGATGTTATTTGAGGTCAAGGTCACATTTGGACCTAAACTTTCGTGTTTTTTTCCTCATTAAGTAGAGAAATGAGATGGTCCTTTTGGAAAATTTTGGAGGATCAAGGTCAAGGTCATGCTCAAGGTCACCTTTGGATGATATGAACACCATAACTGCTGTCTAACATTTTTGCTGGAGCAAATTCTTTTCGATGTCTTGATTTGACCTTGTAATGGCCTTGAGGGTAATGGTCAAGGTCATTGCAAATGGTCATGGTAATATTTCGTGAACTGCGCATTCTAGGAGAAACATTGTACATCTGATCATCACCTTGGTCAAGGTCAAATCAAGACATTATAAACAATTTGTTTCATAAAAAATATTCGATAGCACAGTTGCAAGATCTGTAAGGATCACCCAAAGGTGACCATGGCCATGACCTTGAAGGTCAAGTAAAAATTTCCATGTTTAACTGGAAAAAGTAGTAAATTTTCCGTCCGAACGAGACATTGACCTCAAATATAAGGTCATTTCAAGCTTGAATGTTATTTGAGGTCAAGGACACCTTAAAGGTCGTGGTCAAGGTCACCATGATTTTGCCGCCTAGAAACCCGCCAACTTTTGCTTGAAACTTTTTGCAACACCTACCATATGCCGGGCATTGATTATGTTTTATCCATCGATGACAAAACCTTGTTCACTCCTTGAATGTTTCCATTGGCACGCAGTATCGCGTATGATCAAGTACAGTGGATATGGCAACGCGGCCGGGCTGTTCGCCCAAAGAGGTCTGTTAGCAGGAGGTCGTGACGAAGGCGAAGCCGACTTCACCAGTTCGGATTCGGATAGTGAAACTGAAGAATACGCGGAATACAAACACGGAATTAATCCTGTCGTCGGTTGCTATCAAGAACCGCATCCCAGCGTTGCTGACGGAATGACTGACGAACAGGTGAGTCTGTTTACGAAGGTTGCCTCAAAAATATGGTTCCCAACAAATTTGATGGGCAACTCTTTAAATTTATCCGAGAACTTCAGCGTGTGGATTGTCTGAACAATTATTTTGTAAATTCTGTTACCAGGCTTCCACCTGAACATCTAATTGAGTTTTACAAAAACAATCGTCGGACAGATAAGAAATTCACTGTTAGGGAAGTTAGTTTAACCTTTAGTTTCGAAGATTCGACTTACGCGGAAAGACGTGATGGTCTGAATATTGCTTTTTTATATCCAGAAAGAGTACGAGGCGATGAAGCTGGTCAATCTCATGGACAGCCTTTTGAAGACCGGTACTATAAAACCGTGTAGAATCGGTAAAGATGGCAAGCCGGAAGCCATTGAACATGTGATGCAGCTACAGGAGCGAATGGAAAATTGCCCGCTCAGAAAGAATGCGGACAGCGACAGTGACTGAATCAGCCAAAGACTCGCGATCATTAAAACGTGAACGGTATCAAAAGGTCCAAACTATTGTTTAAATGTCCACAGTTATGTACAATGTTTTTTTAATCGTAGAACCAGGATTGAATTTTCGGAAAAAATGAAACATGTATTTTTGTGTTTAATACTTCAGTAATTCGAGAGTACCACCCCATGATTTTAATATCTCACAAATATCTAATAATTGTGGTATAAGATTGTTAACATGGCAGCAGAAGTAGCAATTGTACAGGGTCCGGCACAAAAGTCTGACGGTTTTTAAAAAATCCCAAACTCGGTCATTTTTACTCAAAAACAAATTTATTGACGGACTCGGGTTCACAATGAAATATCGTTTGTCATAATTAAGTGTGGAAAATCTCATCAGTCATGTGGTGATCGTTGTTGACGATGCATTGCGGAAGGCGTTCTTGAAAGTTCGCGTACAGTGCAGAGTTCGGGACTTGTGGTCGTATACACGAGCCTTGAGGAAAAAATCGCAATGAACATCGCCAAACCTGGAAATAAGGCGACCACCGAAGAGAGGGCGAATAACGTTCATCGTTGCTCTGGCTGTGTGGGAGGTTTTCATTTTGCTCGATAAGTACTTCCATCTCACGTTTCCGGGGGTGCGAACCGTTCGTGGAGCTCCTGGTGGTCTGTTGTTGATGAGTACACCACGTGTGCGAAGTGATTGAACTCAACTACAGGAAGGAACAGCTCGATTCCGATGATTATTGAAGGTGGCAACAAAACTCACGCTGTACATATGGACAAAACTGTCGTACTCAACCCTCTAATGCTCCATAATGTCTGCTGGTAAAAATGCTAGGTACGCACGAGTCGAACGGCACCCTTCCCAGCACTCTCGCCTGAATAGACGGAGAGCACTGGCCATTTCAAAAACGTCCATCCTTTGTGTCGGACCCTGTATATTAAATGACACAGATCTGATAGAAACTGCTATTATGCTCCCTTGGCATCGAAGGTGATTGGAGAGATGAAATCAAATCTGCCATGCAGATTTTACGTGTTTTAACACGGTCGGCATTTACATTCAATAGCAATAACTCTCCTTATATAAGGTAACGATAAATTATGCACGAATCACAATGTTCTCCATTCATTGAGATAGAACGAAAGAGACTTCAAATAACGCAAACGACGTCTATTGTTGTTAGACCATTTCAGAAATGTACTTATCCGAGTTTTCCAGACCACATGCTCTTTCAAGTCATTTCAGTCCTGCACCATACTGATTGTTGCTAATAAGCATCAATAGGGTGATTGGTCATGGTCGCAGTTTATTTCACCTAGTCGTCAATTCGCCCAAAGTAGTAAACTTTTTTCTTCTGACTAGTTTTCACCACAATTTATTTTACGTAGCCGCACTTTAGTATTAGACCCTTTTAGACCATAACTTACCTCTCTATCATAAACATGTTTATACAAGTTTCATACTTATAAAAGACTGTAATAACTATCCCACTTCTATGGTGTATTATATTAAGCATTTTCCATGTGATTTGTAGATTTTAATAATTGTTTTATTGATGGTCATAAATGTATACAATAAATGACATATCTCAGGGCCGGTTTATCAAAGCACAGTTAAAAGTGCCTGTTAAGTAACCTCAAGTTAGGCTAAACTGGCAGTTATGTTATGAAGCGTGTTTATCAATCAATCAATAGCTGTCAGTTTTATAACTTTTGGTTTGCCTTCGTTTCTACAAGGTTGGTAGAACTGAACTGAGCGGAAATGAATTTTTATTCGTTGAATTTAATTTCCACAAAAAATGTCAGACAATGACAAATGACGCAAATGTCAAAATTTAACCTATTCGATATATTTGTGTGAAAGTGTATCACTATCACGCAATGACGTCTTTGCTATCACGTATCTTGAAGTTTTCTTTATTCGTGTGGCATTGTTTTACGAAATTAGTACGGATTGTTTGGAAAAATGGAAAGCGAAGAAAAACAGTGGAAAGGGAAAACAAAAAAGAGGAGCGAACTTCAGCCTCAGCGACCGCAAAAACTTGTTGAAACTGTCCAACCAATTTAAGGCAGTGATAGAAAATAAAACAACGGATGGAGTTACTTGGAGACAGAAGGAAGAAGCGTGTGATAAAAATTGAAAGAGAATTCACTCATTTACAACTGGAGGTGTGAGTATATACATATACTTTTCAATTGCTATAGTATGTGATAAATTAATTGATTTCCAATATACAGTTTTGGCAACATTTCCCAACTCTGTTAAATAAGATATAAACTGTAGTGAAAAGAGTATGAATGCAATATTAGTTTTTTGTTCCGTAATTGTTCATATATGAATAAATTTTAGCCACGAACAGCAAAACAGCTAAAAACAAAGTATGAGGCCATAAGAAGGAGCTGAAAAAAAAATATAGCAGCCATAAGTGCTATATGCTTGGAACAGGTGGTGGTGCTTCAAAAGAAGAACCCAAACCTGAGACTGAAGAAGAGAAGGAACTATTACAAACTATCATAGTTTCTGTTGAGGGTCTTCAGTCTCAATATGATTCAGATGCATAGCAGGAAAGTTCTGTTTTTTTATTTTTTACCTTTGGATCATGCTTAATTTGATTTTGATTACAGGTGTAAGAGGAGTTGAAAGTGAGGAGATTGAAAACAGCAGTGTGATAGTAGAAACGCATGAAGATATTGAGTGGAACACACCCAGTACTTCCTACCTTCAAACACACATTCATCCAGCTTTGAAAGTATCAAGGCCGAAATGTGCTACAGGTGGACGTAAGTGGAGAAGATATGGAAGTAACCGACCATAATACTGACAGTATCAGTGTAGCAGAGACTCCCAGATCTAAAAGTATCTGTGAAATATTTCTTATAACTATAGGTCTATAGATATCTTCATATTTATGTTACTATACAAAAATTTTATTTTAGAGCCATGGTCATGTCGGCGAAAGACCAGTAAATTAAGAAAAAGAAAAGCATGTCTTCTGCTTCTTCGAAATTGAAGAACTGGCTATGAAGAAGTTAGAGCTGGTGAATTTGCAAATGTCGATTGCAGAAGAAATAAAAAAGCAAAATGCTGCAGAGCATAAAATAAAAATGGAAAACCTGAAACTGAAGCAAGACATTTTGAAAATGGAACTGCAGATTAGAACACAAATGATAAATTATAAAATCTGTGTAATATATATAAATATAACCCACTAATTTTGAAATTAAGATTGCTATTTTTTTATTTGTATTTAATTCATAATAGTACAAGTAAAGAATTAATTTAAAAGCCCTGGAAAATATTCACTTAATAACAGTTCCCTGGCATCATGAAGTTATTTTCAGGAGGATCAACACTGATATCTTCTTCATAATGATTATGTTTTCATCCAAGTTTGGAATATCAGGGGGCTGCTCTTCATTTTGGTCAATTGCTATATTATGCAGCACAGCTGTGGCAACGATCACTGTAAGGGTTGTCTGTAATTTTAGTCTCAACCCTGTTGAGAGAACTGGAAATCGTCGTTTCCACAAACCGTATTGCCTTTCCACAGGATTTCTGGTTCTTGTAACTGAAAAAATAAATGAAAAACAAACTCATTAACTTTAATTCTCCTTGTATAGAAAAAATAATGCAGTGTAGTATCTGTACAATGAAAAAATATGGTTCATGCTTTTAGTGAATTAAATTATTTTATGAGTAAAATAAAAAACAGCTCCATATAATGTAATGATTATAAGAGATAGAAACATACCAGCTTCATTATAAAGTTGTTGGACTTGTGTTCTTGCTTCCAAAAGTGGTGTTATTACATGCATTGAATTTGCATAACCACTGTCTGCTACTAAAAGGCTATTGCCAAATTCATTTCTTTCCAATCTACTTTTTATTGATGAATTATCAAAAATTATCTGGTCATGTTGACTTCCAGGCCAGCGTGCAGTAATGTCTAATATTTTTAGATTGGGGGCTGAAATGGTTTGTACATTGATGGAGAAATAGCCTTTTCGATTGCGAAATAGTTCTGCATTATTTCCTCCTGTAAGGGTAAAGTTTTATAAGTACAAGTTCTATAGATACAAATAGATACCATACCAGGTGACTGAATTTTTATGTGTGTGCAGTCAAGGGATCCAATCACTCTAGGCACATGTGCTTTCTCATAAAAGCTACTTTTGGCTTTCCTTATTTCCTCATCATTACTTGGCATTTTTATAAATCTACCTGAGAAGGTAGCTATTGCCTCAGACACCTTCTTCACTATTTTTGAGGCAGAGCTCTTACTAACTTTGATGAAATCACCAACAGTTAGTAGGAAGTTTCCCGTAGCATAGAAGCGTAGAGTCAGTAATAACTGATTGATGGGTGAAATAGAATGATTTCTGAAATAAATATACAATTAATAGTTACCACAGGGAGTCATTTGTCATAGAATTGTTCATGATAAGTTAAATAAAATTCAATGAAATCCACATATCTATTTCCATATTGTTTAAATATTACAGAAAAAATATTCGCAGAAAATAAAAAGTACCTATAGGTATTAACATCAGCAGCGTTCTAAAAACGTGAAATAACCTACCTGTCGGTAACAGATTCGAGTTCTTCCTCGATGAGAGATAAAATATATAAAACCGTAATTTTTTTCAAGCGCGGAAAC